TCTTCTTCTTCTTCTTCTTCTTCTTCTTCTTCTTCTTCTTCTTCTTCATTTAATTTATTGGCGGATTGCAAGCAACTATTAGGTGCATACCGCCACCTACTGAGCATGAGTGTGCAATTCCAGGCCGCTTTCCCTAAATCCTACCTATAATATTGATGTTTTTTAAGTAAATAATCAGTTTTTTCCGTACATCCCTTATCTTGTCTTTATCCCCTTCATTCCCTAATAATCCTTCCAAATTCCATACTCTTCCTACCTCTTCAACTTTTCTTTTCAGCTTCTCCCTTTCCTCAGAATATTTAAAACATTTCATTAATACATGATCAACATTTTCTATTTCCCCACATTCTTTACATTTATTATCTGTCCTTTTCCCCATCATATACATGTTGTCATTGAGAAAAGTATGACCCACCCTTAATCTCATAAAGATTATGTCATTTCTCCTTTGATTGTCTCTGATATTCTGCATTGTAACTGATTTCTGTATTCTATAGTATCTTCTTCCTTTACTATCTTCATCCCAACTCCTTTGCCAGTCCTCCATCCCTTGTTTTTTAATCATTGACTTACCCTCTCCTTTCCCATATGAAATCTGAATTATTGATTCTCTGGTAAGCGCTGATTTCTCTGGTAAGCGCTGATTTGGCAAGCTTGTCTGCCCGTTCATTTCCTTCTACCCCTACATGTGCAGGAACCCAACAAAATTGCACATCTATACCTCCTCTATATAATCTAAACAAAGAATGTTGAATTTCTAACGTGAGATCCTTCCTACTGTCACCATATGCTTGAATACTGTCTAAAACTGCTATTGAGTCTGTGAAAATTGCTATTCTATCAGGTCTGACTTCTTCAATCCATTGTAAACTAAAAATAACCGCCATCATCTCTGCTGTATATACTGATAATTGATCTGAAATTCTCTTGACTATACTTATTTCCAATTCTGGAATGTAGACCCCTATTCCCACTCTTCCTTTTGTGTTTCTAGATCCATCAGTAAATACATGTAGATAATTATAGTACGTTTCTTGAATATATTTACTGGATTTTCTTCCTATGTCTGTAACGTTACATTCTCGTTTCCATTCAAGCAATTTTATGTCTACATTACTTTCAGGAAACAGCCAGGGTGGAGTAATACTTATCGGGTTACTTCGAGCAAAGTCTATATTTTGTAGTCCATATGTTTCAGCAAGTTTGTTTATTTTCCATCCGAATCCTCTTCTGTGAAATGTGTTGTATTCCCAACAGTCCTGGATAGTCATTGCTGCTGGGTTTGTTTCATCCTTTCTTTTGAGTTTAGTCCAATAAGATAATGACAATTTAATTCTTCTTATTTCCAATGGAGTTTCACCTGATTCTATCAGAATAGCTTTAATGGGAGTGGTTTTAATTGCTCCTATGCATATCCGTTCACATGATTTTGCAATAGAATCTGACACAAGAGTTAAGTCTGTACAAGACTCTGTACCTGTGTTTATATCTAATCTCGTCCCTTGACCATTATTTAGACAAATCAATGCATTTTCATCTAACCATTCTTCTATAGTGTAACCATTACCGTCTGTATTCTTACTACCCCATAAGCTGTTATGAGCGTTGAAGTCACCGCACCATATTTCTTTTTTTATATTACTTCCACTTATTTCTTTAAACATGTCCAAATCTATTGTTTTACATGGATTATAGTAATTAATTAACCTAATATTGCCAATTCGTTTTAGATTGAAAACTTCTATGATCACACATTCATGTTCAATGTTATTGTAAATTTCTTTGAACGCTATCCCTAATTTGATAAAGGTAGCACACCCTCCTCTATTACTATTTGTAGACCTATCTTTTCGTATTGATTGATATCCTTGAATCTTAAACTCTAGATGGGGTTTTAACCAAGTTTCTTGAATACAAATAATGTCTGGAGTTGCTTTTAATTCATGAATATATTTTTTGAGTTCTTGGCCATTGGCTATAAGACTTCTAGCGTTCCACTGTAAAATGTGAAAAACCATCCTAGTCTTTACCCAGACTGTTTCCTATAGTGTCAACAGTACTTAGTAGCGAATGAATCTGATCAGCCTGTATTTCCTTCATATCCAAAAATTTTGCTGCTGCTGCAACAACCATCTTTATTTTATCACTTTTCTTTTTCAGTTGCATAGTTACATTTATGATATGACAAATAAACGCCAAAAACTTATCTTTTTCCACTATCATGGATTTATCATCTAATTTGCATTTGTGTGTGCAAGCTTTTGGATGCTCCAAGGGAATCACAGTTGGTTGGTTATGTTGTCTAATGTTATTTACTTCGGAGTATCTCTGCACACTTCCTTCTTTTCTCATATTTATTGGCTCTTTTTTTCTCACCTTTTTTAGAGCTTCTGCATATGTTATTCTTTCAGTAGTCTTAATTCTTAGTGCTTCTCTTGCTTCCTTTTGAACTACACAACCCCCATATGCTGCACTATGTTCTCCTCCGCAATTGCAGCACTTCACTTTGGAGTCTTTGTCACACTTGCCGTATTCATGGGGACCTCCACATCTAGCACACCTGATTTTACCCCTGCACTCTTTAGCTACGTGTCCCATTCTTTGACAAACGTAGCATCTGATCGGGTTGGGAACATATTCCCTTACTCTAAAGTTAATATAACCCAGCTGCACGCACTCTGGCACTGTGTTTTCAAATTGCAAAATGACTGACATAGTTTCTGAAATGACTCCCTCTTTTTTTGTTTTAATCCTGGTTACACTTGTCACACTCCCTCCTTTAATCTCTTGTTTAATTTCCTCCACACTTATATCTAATGGCACTCTAGAGATCACCCCTCTCAGGTTGATGTTAGATCCTGGGATATATGTTTTAACATCTTCTCCCATGAAAGATGTTATTTTCAGAATTTTCTCTAGTTGATTTTTGGAAATAACATGAATGAGAATTTTTCTGTTATTTAATATTTTGGCTAATTTTACCACTCCTAATTTTTCCTCAATACCCTTTGTTATTTTAATAGGGTGTGAGCATCGTCCTTCCTGCTTAAATTCTATTATCACTTTTAATACCTCTTCTTGTATTGCTTCCATCTGTAATTGATTGACATCCCTGGGAGACACTTTTGACTTTTTGTTAACGTCCACTCGTTCTTCACTTTCTTGAGACCAGCTTCTATCTCTAGCTTGTCTTTGTTTTCTTTTAATTTTAGCTGAATTTGCCAACGCCCAATCCATTTCCTCTCCACCACTTCCTCCTGAAGTGGAGGCCATGGAACTGCATTCAAAGCTCAGTTTATGCAATCTGCCACTTGTCCAGCTCCTACCTTTGACTGGATTTTTTCTTTCTGAATCAACTCCAAACTCCACCAAATGCTTTTCAACCACCCTCCTGCACTCCTCCTCCAACCCTCGCAGCAGCTGAACCCTGCAAGAGACACTGACACTCTGAGAAGCTCTTTTTATACCCAATCATGTTGTCAATTGACCTAATTAGTGTTAAATGGTCTTCCAGCTGTTCGCTATATGCTCAATTTCCTTTTTCCAGCCACTTATTGCTACTTGTCCCAACTTTTTTGGGATTTGTTAACACCGTGAAATTTTGAATCAACATATTTTTCCTTTAAAATGTTACATTTACTCAGATTAAACTTTTGATCTGTCATCTATGTTATATTATGAATAAAATATTGACATTTGCCATCTCCACATCATTGCATTCAGTTTTTATTCACAATTTGTTTAGTATTCCAACTTTTTTGGAATCCGGTTTGTATTTAACTGTTAGATTCCTATTTGTAAATGTACAGTGCCTTGCGAAAGTATTCGGCCCCCTTGAACTTTTCAACCTTTTGCCACATTTCAGGCTTCAAACATAAAGATATAAATTTCTAATTTTTTGTGAAGAATCAACAACATGATTGGTTTCTTCTTTTTTTTCTCTCTCTCTCTCTCTCTTTTTTTTTTTTTTTTCCCCTTCTTCTTCTTCTTGTCTTTTTATGGCGGTTGGCAAACAACTTTCAGGTGCATTACCGCCACCTTTCGCCTAAAGCCCACCTGGAAGTATTTCTTTTAGCGCATGCGCATATGAACTGACGCATGGATTGTACTTACGTCAGAGGCCTGCGGGGACGTAACGTGCTACGAAACAGCTGGTTCAATTTCGGAAAACATCGTTATTTTCCGTGAACGAGTAAAGGATGGAGGAAGAGGCACGCAAGCTTCTCGAAGAGGGAATAAGAAAGAAACTGATAAGCCCAGGTAAAGGAGAGCAGCCGACCTTCCCAAATGGAACCAAGGTAATTAAAACACGGTCGCGAATGGTTTCCACCATTTTGCCTAGAAAATGTTTATAAAAACAACGCGACAAGGCGAGTTAGCTAAATGCTATCACGGCGATCAAATCTATAAAATATTAGAACACGTTTGTCTTGATGAACGTTATATTTAACGCGTTGGGTTTGCATAAGTATATCGTCGAATTTAACAGACTTTAAGAAGATAAGATATTTAATTTGGTATGTAAGTACATGATACATTTTTGTCATGTTTTTTTTTTCCTAATGGAAAGTAGTGGGTGGGGACAGAGTGTTTGGGCATTTTGATTCGTCGGCTTATCTTGTCTATCATTGTTTCTTTGTTGTGATTGGTTAGAACCTGATGACGTAGGGAGTTTGTGCTAGTCCTGTCAGAGATGTTGATTTAGGTCGTTTGCAATAAGAAAACAACAAAAATCGAACTCTCAAGTGCGTTTATCTTGCGTGGTTGTTTTACCAAACCAGTGCATACTTTTAATCCAGCAATTTCTTGCAGGATCAATAAAGTTCTATCTTAGGTCTAATCGTTATTTAGCTCTTTGGTTGGCCTTGCTGCTGTTTCAAGTGCTTTATAAATAAAGTGATATGGTGTTTACTTGTTTATTTTAATTCTAGGTCATCTTTCACTACCGCACCAGCTTGTGTGATGGCACGGTGCTGGATGACTCCAGAACCATGGGGGGCCGCAGCAAACCTATGGAGCTCATCCTGGGCAAGAAGTTTAAACTGGCTGCGTGGGAAAGAATAGTCATCTCTATGAAACAAGGCGAGGTCGCAGAATTCACCTGCGACACCACGGTGAGGAAGACGATGATGTTGAAGCTGCTTTAATGTTCTTCTTCTTGCTGCCGTTTACTTTTGTCTCCTCTGCTCCTCAGCACACAGCTCTGTACCCGCTCGTGTCGCAGTCGCTGAGAAACATCAGTGTTGGGAAGGACCCTATGGAGGGCCAGAAGCACTGCTGCGGCATCGCTCAGATTCACTCCCACCACTCTTTAGGGCACAAAGATCTGGATCATCTCCAGGCCAACCCACAGCCTCTTGTCTTCACCATCGAGCTGCTGGAGGTGAGCCAGCAGGACATAGTCTTCATACCGTTTAGTGCTTTTTAGTTTCTATATTCATATTATAGCTATACAGTAAAGGTACCTGTTTTGCCTCTGAAGTGCAGAGACTAAATACTTTAAGCCTTTTTACAGGTAGGAAGTTAGATATTTTCTAATTTACAGTTGAAGCCAAGTACATAGAGTTTTATGAACTTGAGAAGACACGTTTGAGCACAAAGTAAACCTAAAAGGTTGTGGGTTCTGAACAACTGTTACACCTGCTGTTGCTTCAGGCCTCCCGTGTCCTCTTCTGCTCAGGTTCTTCCTCCCGGTTCCTACCAGCTGGATATGTGGGCCATGAGCGACCAAGAGAAGCTTGAGCTTGTGCCACAGATCCATGAGGAGGGCAACGTGCTCTTCAAGCAAGGCAAAGTTAAGGAGGCCTCGGAGAAGTACTACAGTGCCATCGCCTGCCTCAAAAACCTGCAGATGAAGGTTGGAGGACAGTTTGTCGTGTTTCTGCACGGTACACTTTAAAAGACTGCGGTCCAAGTGTGTCCTCTGTTCCTCCTCCTCTGTCATTCAGGAGCATCCTGGAGATGGAGGCTGGATAAAGTTGGACCTCATGATCACTCCGCTGCTTCTAAACTACTGTCAGTGCCTGCTGCTGCAGGACCAGTACTACGAGGTCATCGAGCACTGCTCCTCCTTGGTCTTCAAATACGAAGGTAAGGCTTTTTCTTAGTGTTGTTAGGCGCTGCCACCTGTGATCTCTTCATGTGATGTTCAAGAGCATGTAGGCTCTCACATGCTGTGAAGTTTTGTCATGACTCAGATCTGATCTCATCTCTGAAATCATAGTTTGTGTGTCAAGCAACTCAGATTATTAGTTTTCAGGTTTCATTCATGTCTTTTAGTCGTTATTGTTGCCATTTTCCCACTAAGACCTTAACCAAATCATTTAGTTTTTTTATATTGATTATTTTTTACGCCTCTGGATATCAAAGTGTGACAACACGTCTATAGTCTTAAAAGATTACCAGACATTGAATAATTTACTTTATTTAACTGTTAATTGTCCTTTATAAGCCACCTTTCCTCACCAACAGCAGCTCTTGAATAACTAAGGGGCCGTTTACATGGCGCGTATTTTGAGTGAATCCGCTCCTTTCTCTTTGTGGTTCTGCTGTTCATTTACACGACACCAGTGGCCCCCCTCTTTGAATCCAGAGGTTTCTGAACCCACCTTCTAGAGTGGAAACGTTTCAGCACAAAAAAAAAAAAAAGAAACTGTCCAGATGACCTGACTGAAAATTGTTGGATTGTATACCTGGATTATTGAGC